GAGAGAGAGAGAGAGAGAGAGAGAGAGAGAGAGAGAGAGAGAGAGATTTCAAGATGGTGGATTTGACCATGTGATTAAAAAATGGGGAGGCTTTGATTTTACAGCTGTATCTTTTTTTTCCTGACATGCCTCCTCATGGATGCCTCTTAGTGAAGAATGGGAAATATTAGCTCTTTTTTTTTAAAGAAAATACTGGATTTAGTGACAATGTACAGAATTTAGTGCATTATTGAAGCAGTTGGAGTGCCAATAGTCACAGTAGCAACCTTGCAAACCTAGGTTTCTCCTTTGATTCCCACAGGTACCATCATAATGGTTCAGAGTTTCCACAGGACCATATTCTTTTTGAGGCTACAGATGGCATCAATTCCTTTGAATTCACCCTCCATGTAAAGGTCAGTGTAAAATTCCGCCAAATGCACATCCGGTGGAGAAGTGAAATTGTCAGAGGGATTTGCGTTTGGCTTCAGCAACTGGGAATTCATAAACAGGAAGAGTTTTGTACTTCACTTTGGAGGTTTATGTGACAATACTTGTTAGGCAACAGATTTGATATGTAGGAGCTGATAGACACCTACACCTGTTCAGCTTATGCCCTATTGTCAAGAATGAATTTCATTTAGAGTTAAATGATGAAGAAAATGTGATGTGTCAGAAAAAGTTATTTCAGCCAAAGCCCCTTAAGAAAAAAAACAAACTTCTGTTGCATTTTTATTTGGGTTACCATTCCTAATTATTACAAATCAGGTGGTTCAAAAAGATGGTTCTGTTATAAAATCGGGAAAATGTCAAGCCAGATATGGAGATAATGCTTTTTAGAGGTACGAATGAAAGGCTAATTCTGCCTGCAGGTGGTCCTCGACTTACAACCATTTGCTTAGTGACCATTAAAAAAAAGTGACTTACAGCCAGTCATCAAAACTGGAACTGTTACAGCATCCCCATGATCACATAATCAAAATCTGGGCACTTTGACAATACGCATGTTACTGTCTTTCCCCGAAAATAAGACCCAGTCTTATTTTCTTTTGACACCCCCCAAAAATGGCTAGGGTTTCTTTTTTGGATCTTAATTCCCCCCCCATGTACTGGTATGAGACGGGGTAGCAAGCTTCCCCATGCGCCTCACATCAGCTTACCTAATGGTCGCACCAGCCAGCCATGCGAAACAACCTCACGGCGGCCGCTCTAACAATCCTGGCCACCGGCCTGCTTCTATGTAATTAGGTAAGCTGGCGTGAGGCACGTGGGGCGCATCACACAGCTTCCCGGACCTTTTTTTTTGGGCTGCAATTACACAGCACAAGCAACCTGGTGGCCAGGTTTGCTGAAGTGGCTTCCATGAGGCTATTTCACGTGGATGGCTGGTGTGACTGTTAGGTAAGGGCATGCAAGGTGGATGGGATAACTTCCCCCCCTTTCCCCCCCTTTCCCCCCTTTTCCCCCCACTTGCCTCCTCACCTCGTGTGGTCGGCACGACAAGCAACCAGAGAAAATGGCAGGTGACTGGCTAAGCAGACGCTTAGTGACCATTAAAAAAAAAGCAGATGCTTAGCCAGGGCTCATAGGGCTAATTTTGGGAGTAGGGCTTAATTTTAGGACATGTATTCAAAAACATGATAGGTCTTTTTGGAGTAGGTCTTCCTTTTGGGGAACCACAGTATTTACAATTGTTCCAGAATCCTGGAGTCATGTGATTGCCCCTTGGGACCTTTCCAACCAACTTTTGACACACAGTCAATGGGGGAAACTGGGTTCATTTAATCACTGATTTGCTTAACAAAGATGGCAAGAAAGGTTGTAAAATCAGGAGCGACTCACTTAACCATCTTGCCTAACAATGGACATTCTGGTCCTAATTGTAAATTGAGAACTACCAGTGTTGTGATGCAATCGTATGTACTGTAATCTAGGTGCTGTTTTTTTTCTTCAATTCTTTCAATAAAAGCACTTCAGGAGTAGATCAGTTTTCAAGTTTCTTGGCCATCTTTTGTTCATGGGGACTTGCATCTCAGTAATACATAAATTGCACTGTGCACAGACCTGAATTAGAAAGACAAAGGATACGATGCATTTCATTTGAGGGGCTCTTTACAGGTCCTATGTGCGTACCCATCCTCACATCTATCTCTTTTGCCCTATAAATCTGTGATCACTCATTTAATAGGACAGTAGAAAATGCAGTGAGTAGAGTAACAACGAACTGGAAAAAGAGAAAGGAACCACTTCTTCTTTTTATTGCTTTCCTTCCTACTTTCCTATCTTCCATTTTTAAAGTTTCTTTTATGGAAAACAAGGATTTTTAAAAAACTGCTAACATATGTGGATGATATATACTGTGTTTCTCATACAATAAGGCCGGGTCTTATTTTTTTTGAGCCCCGAAAAAATGGCTAGGCTGTCTTTTTGGGGGTGACTTAATTCCCCCCCCCCTTGCATCTTTGGGTGGGCGGGCAGCGATGGCTTGGATGTTGACCTCGGCATTGGTGGGGCACTTCATATCGGGGTCAACGCAGGCAGCAACATATCCGGGTGTGCAACAAAAGTACTTCCTAATGGCAAGCCCCCCCACCATTCCCCCCCCCATTTTGCATGTTGGGGGGAGGGGCTTAATTTCATTTCATGCCTATAAAACATGCTGGGACCTCCTATTGGGGGAGGCCATATTGTTGGAGCAACAGGGTAGTTATCCCATGGAATGCAATCTGCAAATCATTTGAAAAACTTCAGATATTTTTAGCCGAGAAGCTGACCGTTGCTTCCTGCCCTGAGGTTTCGATCCTAGGGTTGTCCCTAGGATCATGTGATTCACTGTTTATAAGCACAACAGTTGTGCTGGCTATTCAATCGGAAAATTTCTTCCAACTCTTTTTGTCCATTTCTTTCTGTATTTTAATAGGAATTAATAGGAACATTAAGATAAATTTTTCGAATATTTGCCATAGCTGAGGCATGCTTGCTCACTGTGGCTTACACAGAGATTCACTATAGGCTGACTTCTGCTTATGCATTGGATACTTCTTTTTCTTTCTTCCTCTTGAAACTCCCATTTACCTCTCAGACCTAGACTGGGGTTCTTCCAAAGTACAGGGAGACAAGGAGGAATGATAAAGAGAGTCAGTTTGCCTTGAGTTTTTATAAAATAAATAAATACACGATAACCTAGCTAACTAGAAATTCCATGGCTCGTAATATAACTGGAAGCAGTCCTCTGTTTATGCATGGGTGGGTAGGAGTTTTAGACTGTGGATTTTTAATGTTGTCATCTGCCTTGGAGTCACGGTATATGAGTTGGACATCCATATACATGTGTTTAAATAAATAAATAAATAAATACAATATTTTTTTTCTAGGTAATTCCTGTAAATGATGAGCCCCCGGTGATGAATGCTGACCTCATTCCCTTCGTGTGGTGTCCAGAAGGACAGGCGGTGCCCATCACTTCAGAGCATCTCTATGCAACTGATAAAGATAGTGAAGACATGCAGCTGATGTTCATGGTTGCGCGACCCTCTAAGTATGGGGTTGTGAAGAGAGGTGGACTTGTGATAGATCGCTTTCTCCAAGCTGATGTTGTTTCTGGAACGGTGACATACGAACATACAAGTAAGTTAAAAATTTGGGATTAATTGTAGAAGGCACAGAGAATGGCCTTGAATTACAGTGGGAAGAGCCATTACCAAGACAGCGATCAGACACAGTTTAAGCACATCCCAAAGGACAGACCTGAAAAATTGTTTCAAACAGGAAGTTACCTAATTCACACAAAGATAAAGTGAAGGAGGAGGGAAGCATATTCAGGCATGCAAGATTCTGTTATTATAGCTGTTCCAATAAAAGTAGTTTATTGGCTTTGGTTTTATAGCCTAGTCCACAGGTATCAAACTGGATTTCTTCGAGGGCTGGATCAGCATTGTAGTTCTCCCCTGTGGGCCCACCAGGAGTGGGGGAGAGACAAGATGGACACCTCCTGTAGCACCCTGCTGGCCAAAATGGGGCAAGGGGAAGCCATGCGTGACCCCCATGCATGACCCCCATGCATGACCCCCATGCATGACCCCCATGCATTCCTTTTTGGCCTCGATGGCTTCTTGCAGCACTTTGCTGGCCAAAACTGGGTGCAGGGCCCCCATATGTGGTCCCCGCATGCCATTTTCAGCTTGGCCCACGTGCAACCCCTGTGGCCCATTTTGGCCAGCAGAGTGCTTCAGGACGCCATCCAGGACAAAAATGGGGTGTGTGGGGGGGTCACACATGGCCCCCCCACCCATGCCCCATTTTGGCTGTCAAAGGCACTGCGGGCTAGTCCTTTGCTATTTCCAGGCCAGATTTTAAGCACCCTGCAGGCTGGATCTGGCCTGTGGGCCTTGAGTTTGATGCCCCGGCCTAGTCCATCCAATAGGACTGATACTATATAGAGACCTGAGTTTTACTGGTATCTTGAAAAATTATTCCTCCCTGCAGTTTCCTTGGGTGGCACAAAAATGGCTCTGCTATGTCTAGAAAGGCCCTTTCTGCTGGTTACTTTTTTGGTTTTTGTTTAACAATGCTACACTATAACTAAATATCAATATATTGTGTTTTCCAAGTGGGGGAAAAAATCGGAAAAACGAAGAAGAAAAGACACTGAATGCTAAGCAAGAGTGAACTGTGCTCAAGAACTACTTAATAGATTTATTTACTATCCAATTTATTACCTGTCAACAGATTTTACCACTAATTTAATTATGCCTCTCTTATCAAAAGATCAGCTTTTTCCTTAAAATGTAATCTCTTTTCAGAGGGATAGATAGTAAAGAAATTTTAAAAGGTCTCTCCTTTGTAATGATTGCCCCTGAAGAAGAAATTTAATCCCATAAGACATTAGGCAGAAGTAAATTGAATAGTAGCTATCGTTTTGGCAGTTCTGCAGGATTCCTCTTGTTTATTCTTCCAGATGAAAGTTGCATGTAATCAATAATAGTTTAAAATATTAGTCAGGATGCAGATGGCTTCTTTGCATTACCACGGCTGGACTTCAGGTGACAGATGCTGTAATTGATGCTGAATGATCATTAATTTCATTAACTAGAGTAATAATTTATTAAATGTATAGCTTCCAAAACATGGCAGTCTCTTTTCACAAAGAACTGCAGGCACACATGGCCATTACATAATGTTCATATGACTGATACCAGCTATTTCTGTTATTGAAAATACAAAATACTTGAAATGAAAAGTACCAAACAAAAGCAGCCATGTTTAAAATTGATAAACATTTGATTTATATAAATAAATCTTCCGTTGTGCCTGTGTATCACCTCTTCAAGCTGTTAATATTGTCAAACACGGAGTATTTATGACACCTGTCTCCATGACATAAAGGCAGATGATATTAAATAATCAGACTTGTACCTTCGCTGATGACAAATGCTAGAAGGGAGATAGTTGACAGAGAAGGTGATTCTGGTACTAGGAGAAAACATTTATATTTGCCACCAAATAATTCCCGGGAGTGAAGTTTTTCTCTCACATTTTAGAATCCCAGTTTGTCTTGGGAATATGCACAAAGGGAAAACCTGAAATAATTTGTGAAAGTGTCATTTTAATTCAGTTGACAAGTGTCTCGTCTGACATTTTTCCCTCATGAGTTCTGTTGAAGAATTGTTGGGTGAAAATCTCTCAAAATCGCCCATCGTGTATAAAGTTGACAGAACCGATTTAGTTCTCTCTATAACTGCTTTGTAGCCCTTCTGTTTAATAGTCTGAAGGGGTATAGTTCACCAAGAAGAGTATTTCAGATCAGAAACTGCATAATTGAATCAGGTCTAGGAACTCAATGATGATCTTTATTAAAGAATTTAGATCCAGACTTTCTTATGTATATAACAACAGGTTTGTTAAGTAGAATATTAACTCAGGAGTTCTGTTTTCAAAGCTTTTTTTCTTTCCTTCCAGAGGATTGTTTGGAACATGTGTGTAATGATGCAGTGGAACGTCCAAAGTTCTTAACTTTGACTATCTTCTGTCACACTAGTCATTAGGAAAATACTGAAATATTAAATTACTTTAGTCTTCATGCTGCATATCTCTTATATGAGACAACAATTGGTTACTCCCCAATTTTCCATTCCCAGAATATTTATTCTGTTTGAGTTAGAAGGAAAAGATGTATGTATACTTCTTCGATAGTTTTGTGATTTGACAAAAATATAGCACAAAAATATAGATACTGACTATAGCTGCATCGCAATTTTAGACTTTTCTCTTAAACTTCTTTTCATTATTCATGATTTCAAAATTATTGCTGAAAATAATTTTCATACATCCTCTTGATAGGTTAATGCTGCAAAGTATCATATACTTCACCGATATATTTTATTTTTCTAGGTGGCGAGATTGGCCTAGCTCTTATCTTTGATGTTCTTACCTTTATTGTGTTGGATGATGAAATTGATCCTGATGTAAAGGCCTGCTGTGACGATAAATCTCCATTTTTTTCTGTACCATATCATAAATCCTTTCCAGTATATGATATTAATATCACAATATTTCCAGTTGACAACCAGCCACCATCCATTGCCACCGGTAAAATTATTATTCCTTTTTTATGTCTGTCTAATTGGGTGAGGTGATTGTGTAAGCACACACAAAATTTAGGAGAGATAGCAAAATAGATACAATTTTCTTCTTTCAACATTCATATTGCCATATTCTGTCATTTAAAACTTAGGCAGAAAGGTAGATGATGGAGGACATCTTCATTCGTACCTTGTACCAGTGGAGCAATAAAGCTTATGTAGAGTATCACCAATACAGGTAGTTCTTGACTTACAACAGTTCATTTAATGACTGTTTGAAGTTAGAATGGCAATGAAAAAAGTGATTTATGATCATTTTTCACACTTATGACCATTGCAGCATCTCCATGATCATGTGATCAAAATTCAGATGCTTGGCAACTGGCATGTATTTATGATAATTGGAGTGTCCTAGGGTCATGTGACCATCTTTTGTGACCTCCTGATAAGCAAAGTCAATGGGGAAGCCAGATTCACTTAACAACCATGTTACTAACTTAACAATGACAGCGATTCACTTAACAACTGTGGCAAGAAATGGAGCAAAATGGAGTAAAATTCACCTAACAATTGTCTTATTTAATATCAACAAAGTTGGGTTCAATTGTGGTCATAAGTCAAGGACTACCTCTAAAAGCATTATCTGTCATAGATAATGATATCATTAGTGGTATGTTATCTGTCAAATAGGCCAGTACCAATTTGACTGGGCTACAGAACCTGGAAGATGCCAATAGTCAGTCATTCATACATTCACTTCACAACACAATCCATATTTCTTATGACACTTCAAGGTTGACCAATTGCCAGAATTACTGTACTAATAAGTCTGGGTTGTGTTACAAAGTTACAAAGAAAAATAATCACGAATCCAGTATAAGATTTGCTAAAATCTTTGAGGATTTGCTTACCCACACTATCATTATATGAGCTGGTCCTCAACACCAATCAGACCAAGGAGGTTATAGTGGATTATAGAAGGAAGAGATCAGACACAATGGATAGCCGTTGCTTATCAATGGAGACCGAGTGGAGCAAGTGGCCAGTTTTAAGTTTCTGGGTGTAACCATAAAAGAGGACCTGACCTGGGGTGCTCATATTGCAGCACTGGTCAAAAGGGCCCAGCAGACATTATACTACCTGAGACTTCTCAGAAAACAACTGAATGAAAAACTGCTGGTGACCTTCTACCACTGCACCATAGAGAGAATTTTAACTTACTGCATCTCTGTATGGTTTGCCAATTGCACAGTGGCAGATAGGAAAGCACTCCAGAGGGTTAATGTCATTGCCCAGAAGATCATTGGTTGCTCTCTCCCCTCTTTGGAAGAGCTTTACAGCTCCTGCTGCTTTAAGAAAGTTCAAAACATTCTCAAAGATCCATCTCATCCTGGGCACCCTTTTTTTGAACTATTACCATCTGACAGATGGTACAGAATAATAAAAACAAGGACAAATAGGCTAAAAAACAGCTTCTATCCCAGGGCAATAGCTCTTTTGAATTCTGCTGTATAGTGCAGTGTTGGTGCAGTGTCAGGGGTTTTCGGTTCAATGTGTGGAGAGTGAAGGATGTGTGTTTGTGTTTATTTCATGGTCATGGTCATGATGTGCACTGAAGATGGTGTTTGATTTCGTTGTACGAGGTGCAACGACAATAAAGTAAACTAAAACTGTGGTGGCGCAGTGGTTAGAATGCAGTACTGCAGGCTACTTCTGCTGACTGCCAGCTGTCTGCAATTTGGCAGTTCAAATCTCACCAGGCTCAAGGTTGACTCAGCCTTCCATCCTTCTGAAGTTGGTAAAACGAGGATCCAGATTGTTGGGGGGCAATACGCTGACTTTGTAAACCACTTAGGGAGGGCTGGAAAGCACTGTGAAGCGATATACGAGTCTAAGTGTTATTGTTATTGCTGTTCAATTTCAATGTGATTGTGTGAATTGCATTTGAATGCTGTAGTGTGGAACCCAATTCTTCACAATCAATTTTCATTGAGTTTGTCCAAGTGGGACTCACTATTCCAGCAGCTACTACAGGTATGCTTCTGTTGTAGAGGAGACCTTGAATTCATTCACCTTGCAATCTAGACTGGCAAATATAAGTGAAATTCCTAGATGAAAGTAAATCGCCAAGGCATAGCCCTTCTCATACAAATGCTGCAGAAGTTTTGCAGTGGACATTCTGTGGAATGGCATGAAATTACGAGCCTTGGTCTTTTTGGCAGGGAGAAAACTAACTACAAAGACGAACCAGCAGCAGCCCAGAGTTGTAGGAATTAATCGCAGTTGCAATTTTTGTTGTTTGAAGTCTGGGCTCAAGTCAGTTTTGAAATGCGAGGTATGATATTATAACTGCAGTTGCAAGGGTAATATAATAAAGGTCTGCCAGGAATAACGTTGGCATGATAGGAAGCAGGAGGTTTGCAAGCACGAGATAACTTTATTGTTTACACATCCCAGCTGCCTCCCCTAGCGTTGAAGAATGGCTTTCTGTTATATTGGTAAAGTGGTAAGAAGAAATTTAGGGTTTAAATGTTGCTTCACAAGGCAGATCTTCCTTCTGTTGCATATGATTTCCTTCTGTCCTGCTGAGTTACAGCTCAGAAAACAGTTCCTAAAAAAGGGTTCAATGTCTGGAAAGCTGAGATTTCTAACTATGCTGGACAAAACTCAAATATCAGAAAGAATGTTACTATTTCAGTTTGCAGGTGAGGTTACATTTAGAAATGCTTTCCGGGTAATGAAACGTCTGTGCAATAATTAAGTTGTAAAGATAAAGGGGAAACATATTCCAAGAAAGGTTTTTTTTTTTATTTCAAGGTTGTTTTTTCTCTCTCTCTCTACCTCCCTCACTCCCTCTCCCCCTCTCTCTTTCACATACACATACATACAGAGAGAATATAAAAATCTGAAAAAAGCATTAAAAGTACATGAATCGTTTTTTGCTCTCTGAAAATAAATAGCTCATTATATACATTTAATATAGTAGTTAAATGTACAGAGATTAAGTATTGGATAAAATTTAACAACAAACTTTTAAACATCAGTAGCTTTAAGATTGTACTTCAGAATCTATATAAGGGTAGAGGTCAATTATAAATATTGCTTTATTTTTATTAATCATTTATTAAGCACCTAAACTTTACTAGGCATTAATTATACATTATAAATTTCAAGACAATCTCTCCACACAGGTTTCTCTTGAAAAGTTTTTATGTTGGGCCATATTAACTGGATTTTGAAGAAAAAATTGCATTTAAAACCACGAATTCTCTAGTGAATAAAATTATATGTGAGTTGTAAACACGATCGCTATATTTGCCAGAATCAGCTCTAATGTTATGCAGTGGCCCTAATTAATATTTCTTTATTGCTGTTCCACATCTTGCAGAATAAAGCTGGTTTGCCAGCATTGTATGCGAGTACAGCACATTTCAACAGCCCGTGTACGGGCAAATTCATGATTTGCTGTCTATCACCCAGGCAATGTTCTGAAAATGAAGGATTGTCCCAGCAGAGAAATTAAGTACTGAGGCATGAAAAATGGTTCAGTATGAGCAATTCATAATAGCTTTCAGGCAATTAATGCTGTGACAAACAGGGGTAACAACCCATCTTGAGCAGCCCATAAACCATTCTGAATAGCTTATCAGCAGAATTGTCTTGCAAGTTGTTTTTTCCTCCTTTCTTCTTCTCTTGCTAAGAAAGAAGAGCCATTGGCCTGCTGGAAAACAATGGCACCAAGTGGTTCAAGGAGGGCTTTCCTCATTAATTACTAGTTGTATATTTTTTTTAGCCTAAAATGCCATGGGGATTTAATATGTTTAAATAACAGTAATCACCTCTCTCTTTCTCGCTCTCTTCTTCTCTTTTTTGCAGGACTTGTGTTTGCTGTGCTGGAAGGTGCCTCAGCAGCTATCACAAGTAAACACTTGTATGCCACTGATCTTGACACCAATGCAGATGACTTACAGTTTGTTTTAACATCCCCTCCCCAGTTTGGGTACATAGAAAATATTTTGCCATCGCCTGGTTTTGAGAAAAGCAATGAAGGGATTAGTATAGGTAGGTCTGTGCTATAGGGAAGGGCCACTTGTCTTTAAATACAGGAAAGTTTGCACCTTCTTTGGAATGTCTTACAGCATATAGCAATGTATGGCTGTGAAAGTTGGACCATAAGAAAGGCTGAGCACCAAAGAATTGAGGCCTTTGAACTATGGTGCTGGAGAAGACTCCTGCGGGTCCCTTGGACTGCAAGGCGATCAAACCGGTCAGTCCTAGAGGAGATCAACCCTGACTTCTCTTTAGAAGGCCAGATCCTGAAGATGAAACTCAAATACTTTGGCCACCTAATGAGAAGGAAGGACTCACTGGAGAAGAGCCCAAGGCTGGGAACGATTGAGGGCAAAAGAAGAATGGGATGACAGAGAATGAGGTGGATGGATGGAGTCACTGAAGCAGTCGGCCTGAGCTTAAACAGACTTCAGAATATGGTAGAGGACAGGAAGGCCTGAAGGAACGTTGTCCATGGGGTCGCGGTGGGTCAGTCACAACTTCAAAACTAACAACAACAACAACAACAACAACAACATTCTTGTATATGCTGATAGTTACCTGTTGGGCAACTATCTATCTGTTATCTATCATGTTCTTGTTAGTGGATTTCACTTGTATTCTGTGGAGAGACTAGTTGAAGGTGACTTCCCATATTTATTTGATGTTAACATTGGCTCCAGTTGTAAATACAATGAATTTTCGCTTATATCTCTGCCACCTTTTCTTTGCATTGTATGAGTTTTGTGAGTTATCTGTATTGTTATTTTCACTTAGGGTAGAAATATGCATTTTCATTATTTTTCATTTCCTCCCCAACATGCCTAGCTTCATTTCACATGGAAAATGTGAGGAAGATGCAGATTAACTATGTTCAGACCAGGCACAGGAGAATTGAACCAACTACAGACCAATTTATGCTGTACGTCACTGATGGGAAGCATCGTTCAGTGGAGGCACCATTTTATGTCTTCATTAACTCAACCAATGATGAAGAACCAGAATTCATGGCAAGGAATTTTACAGTAAGGAAGGAAATGGTGTCCCAAGGACTGCTTTTAACAGGGCAATTTAGTGATGTTTGCTTTTGCTGTCCCCTGTCAAAATTATTCCAGCTCTGATCCTCTGTGCATGTATATGCAACCAAGTCAAGCACAATACTGTGCTTTGTTTATCTTCACAATAATTCATTTATCCCTCTTACCTTTTTACCATTCTATGCTTTGAATCACATTATTTGCCTGCACCCTACACTTGCAGACCTCTTTTATGTCTTGGTTCTTTTGTTCCCCCTGCTCCCCAACTCTACGGGTATCTAAACTTGATTGTGTTGTTTTAGCTTTCGGGAGGAGAGTATGGAGAAGCAATGGAAAAAGCAGACTAAATATTGTGTCTGTACAACCTGCCTAATTGGCTGAATTATATAGGTTCAGTTATGTTGTGGGAACCCAGAAGTGTGACACCAATCCCAGATGAATGTAGATATTGCCAATGAGTTGTGAATGAAAATTTACTTCTTCACTCTTTCTTTGCTTTTGTCATTCTTGTGTCGATTTCCACTTTCTCTTTCCTTTTACCTGTTTCAAGTCTGTCCTGTTAGTACATTTCTTTTCTTTTTTCTCTTTGAGTCTATGTGAAATAAAACACAAAAAGGCTCAGGGGAAGGCATCCCTTTATGAAAAGTTAATTTTGATCTATGTCTAAATCTTGGAGCTCACTCGTACTCATTAAAAAGGGGAAAGCCCTTGTTACACTGAACAGTCTAATGGTAATTTACTGAGTGATCTTCGATTGATCTGCACACCTGAGAATTCTACTTCTTATCATTCATTTTGTGAAAGAGTTGACTTTTACCTTCTGTTGACTATTCAGGTGCAAGAGGGACAGATGAAGGAGTTGGATCCATCAATAATCAACGCTGTTGATTTGGATGTACCAGAAGATATCCTCACGTTTACTGTCCTTCAACAACCCCACCATGGGTTTCTTGTTAAGGGAGCATATGGCAACAATATTTTTCATTACAGGCAGGCAATTATTAGTCAACAGTATCATGAAATTCAGGTGGATAGTATATCCATGGAGATTTTAAAAAATGGTAAGTATGATATTACTTCTGGCCATGTTGGTTCTTTGCAACAATTTCCCCTAAATAATGAGCAATAGAAGACTAAATTGAAAATTAGTAAATGAAACTGAATTCTATTAATAAAAGATTCCTCAGGTCATTAATTAAAAATTGTTAATAAAACAAACAGAGATCAAATTAGAATAAACAGTCTGTATGAAGGGTTTTTCAAGATGTTATCTATTGTAGTAAATTTTTAACCCAATCCAATTTCCTATACTTTCTAACAAGTTGACTTAAGGAATGTTGGGTTCCTTATTTTTTGCCATTTAGTTGCCATATTGAAAATAATTTGCCATATTGCAATATTAATTACCATAACTAATTTGGCAGCAACTCCAAAAAATACGGCAATTTGTTATGTGTGCCATTTATAAATTTATAAATCTAAATAAATTTCCCCTTTTCCTTTCTCCCCTCCTTTTCCTTGTTACCCACCTATATTCTCTATCTTTCAGGATTGAAGCTTGTGTATCTACACGATGACTCTGACAGCTTAGCTGATGACTTTTCAATCCAGCTGTCGGATGGGAAACATCAAGTGTCAAAAACCATTTCAGTTAAGGTTACCCCAGTTAATGATGAGAAGCCAGTGCTGAGCAGGTAAGCCACAAATGCCTCTTCCAAACTGCTGAGTTTATACGGACCAAATGATTCAGCACTGACCACATTTGTGATTACAAAAGCTCATCTTTGGCAAATATTCACCATTAATGCTAGCAATGTTTTCATGTAGTATTCCTCCTCACTGAAGAACATGTGATGAACAGTGAGATAAAAGCTATTGTAGTGTTCTGACCTAGGCCGACTCCTCGTCCCGATAAACCTCTTTTATTCAGTTTACAGTGAATTCCTCTCCAGCAAAGTCCTGACCAACAGTCTTTCAAGATATTCCACAATTACGGGATGTCCGGTTTGAGCTTCTTCGGTGACAGACCGAAATCCGTGATCGTGCGCGGTTTCAATCCGTATTTGCTACTGGAGTACCCCGAGCCAGCTGGATTCGGGGCAAAACCACCCCATAGAGGTGGTGAAGAGGGAGGAGACCATCAGCAGGGTCGAGGAGAGCCACATCTCTCCTCCCCAGCTGGCAATTACTCCCTTTCCTGAAGGCGTTTGCAGCGGTGGTCAGAAATGGCCACCTCAAAGAACTCGACCGGAAAAGAATGTGCAGGAGGAAGATAAGAAGAGAAAGTTTTGGTTGACCGGGTTGAACTGAAAAAGCAATAACATAAGGTACCCTGGAATTTGAACTATAAAGAATAACATTGTTTCCAAAGAAGATTTTGAAGCGGCAAAAGAGAGAGGGAAGGGAAAGGATTTGGCTTTTTTTTATTTCCTTCCTCATATTGACAGCTAAGAGATTTAAGTAAGAAACTGACAAAAATCCCCTTTGACATCAATAGGTATTTAAGCTGGAAATAAAATGTCAAAGGGATAACAAAGGCTTTTGGATATTCAAAAACTTTTAAAAGAAGGAAAGGAGAGAAAAGGAAAAAATAAAAGGGCAGGATCTGGAAAAATGTTGGACGCTGCCTGGAAGTAAAAGGAATTTACAGCGAAACTTCAACAAGATTCCTAAAAGATACATTCTAACTGAAACTTTGTAACAAGATAATAGAACCCCAGGAAGAGAAAGTGGAAAAAAGAAGTAAGAAGAAACAGCTTTGGATTATTTGGATTACTTGGTGATTTTTGGATTTTTGGTTATTGGATTTAAATGACTAAAATCAATTGGATGGTTGTTTAAAAGTGTTTAAAATGGCATCACTCTTGGAAGAACTGAAGATGGAACTTAAAAAACAGAAAGAAGATGCACAAGAAGGAAGAGTTTTTTTGGCTTTGTATTTCAATTTTTAGAAATGGAGATCTTGAACTATGAGAAACAACAAGAAATGCTTGTAGAACAAGAAGGGCGGGACAAAGAAGAAGCCATCTTTAATGACCAAGTAATTTTATGTGGGGAAAAAAAGGAAAGGGGTGGGGGAAGAGAGTGAAAAGTTTAAGATTTGAAAAAACAACCCCCCCCCAAAAAAAGAATAGCTTGAAAAGTAATTACAATATTAGGAAGAAACAGAAGAGAGGGTTACAGAAGAGAGAATTAGAATTAGAGAGACAAGGGTCAAAAAGGGGAGAGAGAAGAAGAGGGGGAAGAAGGAAAGGAAAAGAAGTTATAAATGACAGAAACAAGATATAGAGAAACAGGGAAAACGTACAAGGATTAAAGGTATAAGCCTATTTAGAAGACATAGAGATAATGGGTGAAAATTTAATTGAAAGAGAGATTCTGCAAGGGTACATAAGATAGTATTGTTATATTAGAAATAGAAATAAACTTAGAAAATATTAAACAAGTGTGATGAAAATGATAGATAAAATACTTATTGTAATGTAATGGAATGTTTGTTAATAAATAAATGAAATAAAGAGAATGAAAAAAATGAAATTAGAAAAGGATGGAAACATTTTAATTATTATTAATGATTTATAAAAATTTGAGTGTAGAGAAACATGAAAGAAATATGCAAAATATTATGGAAATATTATAAGTGTTCCTAAGGAAGTATGATATTCAATTGAAAAGGAATGTTAAAAATGTTAAAGATTGTAACTAACATCAATGATAGAGCTGAATTGGAATAGAATAAGTATTTTCTTTACTATTGTTATATGTATATATTTTCTCTTTAAGAACATAGTGTGTATTTTAAGAATGTACCAAGCAGAATTTGATTGGAAGTTATGTGTTATATTGAATGTTATAATTGTAAAAGCATAAATTGAAGTTTAAATAAGAGTTGAATGGATAAAATTAAAAGATACAAAGGTGTCATACTCCAATCAGTAACTACAGGGGCAAATTTGTTTAATGAGAAAAGAAAATATGAAATTGAAACAGGACAGACAAAAGTATAAATATAATGATTAGAAAGACATTGAAATTTAGAAAAAGATATATAATTGAATTTAGATAGGTATGAGATAATTAAAAACAAGGTTGAGAAAACTAAGGGAGGGGAAAAATTACAGAGAAAATGTTAAAATAGTAATAAGATATGGAATAGAACACAAAGATGAATATGAAATTGAGTTTGTGTCTGTATGGAGAAGTGATAACCCGGGATCATGCTATTCTAAAAAAAAAAGGTATTTTATTTGTACTATGTTTTGTGAAAACCCAAATAAATTTTTTACAAAAAAACAAAAAAGATATTCCACAATTACAGACCTTTATCAGGCTTGGAGAGTTGCCAGGCCGATATTTTTCAGATGCCACACTGTAACTGACAATAATTAGCAAGAATGCAGGAACAGATCTTCATCCAAATGAACTAATTGTCTCCTGCAAAACCCCACTCTCCTTTCTCTCCTCTTTTATTCCCAAAGGAGAGGCCATTCACTGTCCATCTGTGGCTTTATACTCCCAAGTTGACCCTTGTTCCTTAGCTGTTCCCTTCTTCTGATAGCTCTGCACATGCGCACACTGGGAACAGGATCCAGCTGTTCTTCTGCCTCACTGATGTCTGACTTCAGAGGCAGATGATAACTGTCAGATGGCCCTGGACGCATCTCTGTCTCTGATGCAGAGCACTTATCAGAGCCTTCCCCAGACTGCAGGACTGGCCCATGTCCTCACTGTACGAATCTGCTGTCAGCTCCGCTGGCCGCTGGTGGGCCACAACATGTAGCTAGTTCTGAATAGGGGAGACACACACACACACACACATGCACGCACACACACACACACACACACACACACAAACAGACAAAGGGACACAGAGAGAAAGAGTCAGAGACAGAGACAGAATGAGACAGGGACATCTTGTATATGTATATTCTAACGGTATACACGTAGGCAAATGTTACAAATGATTCCAATGAAATTATTGTTTGGATGGTTTTGGAAGGTGATTAAAAAAAAGCAATAACAATATAAGCATGCCCTCTATTGGTCAATCTATTCTTGTGCCAAGAATAGTCCCCGCCCCCCATTCATCTAAGGAGACAAGACTTACTTACATTGCTATCTATACCAATCATTCTTCAACCTATTTGAAAAAAGACACTTTTAGCTGTGGAGAGAATACAGACCAAACTTCTCCTCAAGAGACCTTCAAAATCCTGTCTTCAGAAGTAAATGCAGAAGGTTCCCAAAATCAGGAGAAGAGAATGGAAAGAAAGGATTGTGCACATTTTCCCTTGCAAGTGAATGCGTCGGGCGTTTTGAATAATGCCGGGCTGAATCAGAGAACCAGAGTGTTCAGGAGAGATCTTTCATATAGTTAGTCCCTCCCCTAATATTATTCTCCTGACAAGAGAAAGGTGCCCTTTATAAAGCAGAAGAAAAAGGATAGCAACTGAACTTTTTGCATTGCTAGGAAGTGCTTTGAAATTTGAGGTAGCAGGGTTTTTTTTTTTTAACTTCAAAACAACCTCCTTGTGTGCTTACTTGAGGCACAAAGGATCCCATTGTATCCTTTCTCGAACCGCCTTCTACTTTTTATAATGTGGCACGGTCACTACAAACAGAAGAAAGAAGGGAGAACAGGTGTCCTTCCATGGCTAACACAGATGGACACAGATGATATTGCATTTAAAAAAAAACCTGTTAAAAGCTAGGATGCTCTCTGCCGAATCCCAAAGGGAATTCAGATTCCATTCACCAACTGTTCTCTGTGCTTTATGTTTAACCCTGTTAATTGGGATGAATTCACAGGGCAGCCAAAACCCTCTGCAGCACTAATGTTGACTGTTCCATCAGAACACCTAAAAAGCCCTTAAGGGAGTTATCAACATTAAACCTGTACCTTTAAGCTTTCATTATGAAGGAGCGCTTCTTATTGTCCCTTTCTTGCCAATCCCCCTTGGCACTTCCTTCAAACAGCAGAGGAATACAGAGAAAAGAAAAGCATTTTCTAGACTGAACCCAACAGATAAAATGATACTAGTCAGTGGTGGGCTGCTGGGTGGTCAGCGAAGTACAGGCGAACCCCTAGTTGTGATTTCTGGCTGGGGCCGCCCACCGGCCCTTGTGCTATGCTTTTCCTAAATAACTAACTCCCCCCCCCCGCCCAGGTTGCCCAGGTGAGTTCTGCACTGAGTTCTACTCACCGGAGCTACCTGAGTCAATTATCTGTCTGTTTCAAGCTGCATTACAGCCCCAAAGCGATGCGGGAATGCTCACGACCAGTGAACTCCTTGCCAACAAAAGTACAGCCCACCTCTGATACTAGTCCCCAAATAAGGTGGAAAAATGGCCCTGACGGGAAAGGTAGGTTGTTACTAGAAATAGTACCTGATAGAATTTTGAGGGGGCTCCATGTAGAAAGCATCTCCCCTTGAGATAGGAGGAATATCATTTTTTATAACATTAGATTTATCAAATGATGCTCAGGAGATTCTCGAAAAACGCTACAGGGCAATATTTATGATGTTGAGTAGCAACCTCATCGTGGCAAGAGAGGTATGAAGTGATGAACTTTTATTTGACAGCCTAAATACTGGTGCTGCAGGCTTCAGTTGCTTGTGCGTGTGTACGTGTGTGTGTGTGTGTGTGTGTGTGTGTGTGTGTGTGTGTAGGGGAACCGCTACCCTGTTTCCCTGAAAATAAGATCCAACTGGAAAATAAGCTCTAGCATGATTTTTCAGGATACTCATAATATAAGCCCTACCCTGAAAATAAGCTCCAGTTAAGATTGTCAGCTGGATGGATGCATTTGGAGCTATATTTCCCCCAAAATAAGACCTAACTGGAAAATAAGCCCTAATGAGTCTTTTGGAGCAAAAATTAATATAAGACCCAGTCTTAATTTCAGGGAAACACGGTAGTCTAGGTGCATCTGAGCACAGCTTTGAGCACAACTTTGAGCCATTATTCCAGTACATTTAATGGAGCTTTTTTAAAAAATAGTCTTTTCCTTCCCCCAAACAAATAACTGAAGCAAAAATGGGGGGGCTAACCTCCTTCATTCATTTCATGGAGATCATCCACAGTCAATGTCCTAATCCGATTTTATCGGATGATCTACCTCTTTATGATTGCAGGCCAAAAACAATGCTGTGCCAAGCAAGCTTCAGCCTTGGGGAAGTCCCATTGGAAAAGCTGCAGCTAATGCAATTCTGCCTCAATGTAATAGAGTGAAAAAGGTGCAGGCCTCTAGCAAACTGTGGCAAGACATGGGAAATTCTGTGGCTCCTTGAAGACTAATTAGTGTAGGATACATATGCTTTTTTCTTAGACAACAGATGCAGGAGGCTCTTCAAGCTCACGAACAATAAAATGTCCCATTCCGTTTGTAATATGTATGGGACCTCCATCCTCATACTGGCTTCTCTCCTGGTTTTTGTTTTTTTAACAGCAGACTAAAACACAGAAAACAGGTTTTTGTTTTTTTAAAAAAAAAGTCTTCCCAGTATTTATCTCTACCTCTGAGCAATTTCATCGATTTTGTTTCTGTCTTGGGTACAGAGAAAATCCTTTTGACATGTTAGCAATTCACTTAACTAGTAACATGGCTGCAGTTTTGCACTTGATTAGGTTGACTGGAAGGGGACGGGAGCACTTTGTGAATAGGTTTGCACCATCAATCTTCTCAGAAGCTTTTTCAAGCTAGAGCTGGAAAATAATCAGTGCCCCTAGCCGCAAAAACATATGGATTTGTTCTCAAAATTAAGCCTTTTTGCCGAAGTACTTATGACCCAAAAGTACACAAAGATGTTTATCTTTTATACTATGTGGCAGCACTTAATCAAATTACTTGAATGAGAAATACCAGGAAATCTCTGATAGGCTTGTGCAGTAAATTAAATGGGAAAGTTAAAAAAAAAAAAAAGTCCTGGAAAATAACAGCAACACAACACTTCTGTTGCCAATGAAACCTCATCAGAAAGAAGTATTTGATATATACAAGAAAAGATGTGTTGGAAATGACATCCACAATTCTCCAACTCCTAGGAATAGCAATAGTCCACAAGCCCATAGCCACACTCCGTCAGGAATTACGCAGAACAAAACAAGATGCAGAAGGATGAAAGAAAACAATGTAATTTACAAAATTAACTGTAACAATTGCAACCAATTCTGTGTGGGACACAAGCGTTACATCAATTAAGAACCAAAATACATGAACATCAGCTGACAGTCAAAACAGCATCAGTTTGATCGGAGCAATACAAAAATCCTTGGCCATGCTACCACCTGCCACATGCATGAGTGCATTGAAGCCTGGCATGTCATAAGCCATTCCATCAACAGATACATTGACCTACAACCAGCCTACAAACTCCTCAGAATTCAGATCAATTGCACAGCCAAACAGCGACAGCACCAACCCTCAACCAACCCCCTCAACCAGTACTTCATCTCCCAGTGACCCACATATGACCTGACCTCCGCATCATAAGACCCTCACTTGGTACATCCACACCTGACCCATCACAAGACTCGTCACAAGTGAGGGGAGCCTAATGTCAACTCGTAAAGCATTCCTGGACTCCTTTCGAGTTGCCATAGGGAGAGGGGGGAAAGACCTGAAGGAGCAGCAAGGCAATCAAAACCAGAAGTACATTCCACGCATACCTTACCAAGGCTGTACTCCAGGTTACCAATCCAGTTGGAGGGGCATTATCTCTAGAGCCTGCAAAAGTCCTCTGTAGGAGAATGTGATTTACGACACACCAGCCATGACAGTGCTCCGGTTGGAGAACGTGATTTATGACAGACCCAGGGGGGGGGGGGGGGGGGAAACAGGGCATAGGTACACCATAAATTACGTGAGGCAGAGCTGGCTTCATTGGGATAAGTGCCGACATGTTGCTCCTAATAAATAATTGGATTTTTTTTTTGAAGTTTGGCTCGAGGCTCATGGTTTGATTAGAGCATTTGTCAGAATCCTGACAGCCGTCACTTGACATACCCCTACCTGACCCAGCACAAAACCGTGATGTGACCCTCACCTGATGTGACCTTTAAATAAACTGAAGTGATAATTTGTAAAGAACTCACAAAGGGAAGAGAAGAAGGCGTGATTCAGTATGCCTCTATTTGTCTTCATAAAGCTTTGTGAATCAGTTCATAATTTAAAATCTCAATATACAGTATATCATTGAACCACAATACCACCAGAGAGCCTTCTCTGGTTGCAGTGAAATTTTATGCATCAATGGTAGATATGGTCGTTTTGAGTCTTGAACATTTCAGTGACTATTTTCATTTTAAACACACTTACAAAGAACCTTTGTTTCTCTGTTGTAGAAAGGGTAAGATAGAGGTGAATATGGGGGAAGCACAGATAATATCTAGTGCTATTTTATCAGCTGAAGATAAAGATACTCCTCGGGAACAAATTTATTATCTGTTTGAGAGAGTTCCAGAAAATGGACATCTTCAGCTCAAGGTTAGTTTTTACTTTTCAACAAAACCAAATAAAGTGTTGGGAAAAGAGATTGAAAAGTCTTGGCTAAGAATGGGAGAGAATGTAATCCTTCTGTTTCTTAAATATCTCTTATGAGACTGAAACACACTGCAGTGACTAATATAATTTACAGTTGATATTTTTTATACAATCCACATTGAAGGGTTCCCTGTTTATATCAGGAATTTTGAAAATCCATCACAGCTTTATCATAGTTTTATTTATGATCAAAATACTTCTAATGTTGAATCTGAACAATGTTATATGCTGCCAAAGAATGTGGCCTGTTTTCTCAACCAAAACTATTCTAAGAGTTTCAGCTCAAACATTCAGGAGAGGCTCTGGCCTGGAGCCACTTCAGTCTAGGAGGCATAGCACCTGTAGAGACCAGGACAAGCATGGTAGCTACTGTATATAGAAGGGAAATATTATATAAGGCACCCTGTTTAAATTAAGAAGAAGTGGGAAGTCTTAGAAAAGAAATGAAAATTTGGCAACCAATGATATTACAGTTGCAGCTCAACTTGTGTCTTATTTCTTTTTTTATATTATTCCAGTTATCTGCCTGCAGATCTGCACAGGGTTGAGTCTTCATTACTTTGTATACCTTTGAAACAAATTCTGTATTTAAAAGGAGAAAATTGCCTTTTTCTGCCTTCTAAGACTTAGCTGAAGTAGAGATTAGAGTTTACCCTTCCACCACCCTTGGCGCTTACCACATTTTTGACTCTGATTCACAACTTGATTGTACATAACCTAGTCTTCGAAATTTCATACAGAAATCCCATGGTCAGCCTCACAATGCTTATTGAACTATACAGCATGTTTAGCAGGCGTTTCTGTAGTTACGTCCTACAAACGAATTTGTTAATGCTGCCACTTAGATACGAATGGTAGTCACCAGTTATAAAAACAAGACCTGTATAAAGCAGTTTGGAAAAGTGGATTTTTGAGAAATTTTAAGTAGCCAGGGGATGAGCATGTGTTTTGTGTGGTGATTGACTTGTTGATGGGATGACTAACAAGTTGAAGAAGCTTGGATTTTGTTTTAGAACTTGTGTTCAGCAGTAAGATCTTTTTAACAGCTGCGTCAGTAATATAATACCAGTTATCAGGAGATGAACAGCATATAAATGTGAATAATAATACTCCAATCATGATAATAATAACAATACACAACGTAATATCTCAAAGTCATGATACAATTTTCCCTCTTAGGTAGGTCAAGATTGGGTGGCACTGTACAAAGGAATGAAGTGCACCCAGGAGAATATAGACATGAACGCTGTGAGGTATATACACACTGGAACTCTTGGATCAAACAATGAAGACAGCTTCTCCTTTCACCTTTGGGATGGAAACAACAGATCTCCAGAAGTGGTTTTTCCCATTGCTATTAAAGATGTGGAAAAGGGTAACTTTATTTATTTTAGGTCTTCACATGGTATGAACAGAACTGACCAAGAGAATGACCACCTTGGATATAGAGGGTGGGAATTGAAGTGGATCCAGAGGTGGTATTCAGCAGGTGCTGACCAGTTCTGGAGAACTGGTAGCAGAAATTTTGAGTAGTTCGGGGAACTGGCAAATACCACCTCTGACTGGCCCCGCCCCGATCTATTTTCTGTCTCTCGAGTCCCAGTTGATCGGCTGGGTCTTCTTTAGTTGCCCTGCACAGGAGAACAGAGCTGGAAAACAGGTTAGTGGGCTGGGGAGGGAATGGGGATTTTGCAATATCCTTCCCCTTCCATGCCCACCAAGCCATGCCACGCCCACAGAACTGGTAGTAAATTATTTTGAATCCCACCACTGATCTGGATGCTGCCCAGTGGGAAAAGCTAATCCATATCTATGTGCCATAAAATTTAGCACAGTATTCAGTACGCTGTCCTGATTGGGGAGGAGAGAGAGGCGGTACTCCGAGATGTCTAGAAAGCATCCAATTGGGGAAGGCTTGCGCATATGAACGTGTGGCAGAATATAGCAAAATTTTATGCTCTGATGAAGGCGTGCTAAAAATTGTAGCCTGATTCATGATATTGAGAAAGGCTGATACAAAACATTGGATGATGGTCCATATTTCAAATGTCTCCTAGGAAACATTGCAATGTTGATGAGACCCCTCACCGTGTTGATAGGTGACAAAGGTCTCCTGATGACTGATGTCCTCCTTGCAGTTGATGGTACCAAGAAGCCAGAGGAGCTACACTATGTGATTACTTCCCCACCACAGTATGGACAGATAGAATATGTCGGCTATCCTGGAATCCCCATTACGAGTTTCAGCCAAATGGATGTAGCAGGGCAGAAAGTCTGCTATGTCCACAGTAATAGAGCATCTTCCTCTAAAGATACATTCAGGTAAGCAAAGAAGAGTCTTATTTTATGTAAAGTGTGTTTAATCAGGGAGTATAATTGGTTAAGCAGAAGAGGACTTTCAGATCTGGGTTGCAAAAATACTGACAACTGTTACATAGGAGCAGAGTATGGGTTTTCTGTACTGCTTTCCTAACATCTTTATCTAGCCATTAACAAAGCAACAACTAGGACTAAAAGCTAGTGCCTACCAAGCGTTTTAGATGATAACTTGCATAATTCTTTGCCACAAACGTTGACAGCTGAGCTTCATAAAAGCGAGGAGTCCAATGACTGAACAAAGTAATACTTAAGAATTATAGAAGCTGCAGAATATTCATTGCCCTAGATGGTTAGAGTTAGGTCTCCTTGGTATCTAGACAGAAAACTAACCTTACGCACAGATTATTCTAGGAATTATAAGAAAAAGAGAGTGACAGGCTTTCATTTGGACTTATGAAGTACATTACATGGGAAAATAAAATTCACATATGAAAACTAGGGTTAGGGTGGGGGTCAGGTGTCCTTCGTGTCTGGCCAGAAAACTAAACTTATGAACAGATTCTTTTTTTTTTTAAACAGTTTTATTAATTTTAACAACAAACAAAAACACACAAAATATAAAAACATCATCCTTTCCTTCATGAGTTTACAGACAGTGTGTCGGTTGGTTTACCACTTTTTTGTGTGCATCCATTTCATAGTCTCCATTGTAGTTATATTACATAATAGCTCATATTATCAATCAACAATTATATAGCCTGATATCATTAATAAACAATCATTTGACTATAATTTTATTAATTCATACTTTAACGAGATAACTATAGTTTACTTAATTTATTTTATAGCAAATCATAAAGTCATACCAAGTCTATCTTAATAAAATTTTATAAAGATAGTATCAAACAAAAAAAGAAATATGTATTCATTGTTTCCTAAAATTCTAAATATTCTATTATTATATTTTATTATCTAGCCATTGATAGAAAAGGTCCCAAATTTCATAGAATTGTTTATCTTCTTGTTCTCTAATATCAAATGTCAATCTACTCATTTCAGCACATTCCAATATTTT